CTCTTAAAGTTTGGGTTATATTGCCAACTCCCTTTAAGTACTCTAAAGTAATCATTCAATTTCTAAAAAGCAGAAATATTATTTTCCTTAAAACATTTTTTCCTGTAAATGTTAACAATGGATTTTATGGGTAAACCTTTTTCCCTATTCTCTTTGCTAGTAGCATAAATGTAATTTTAAGACAAGCTGGGATCTTAAAATCATTTCCTCATAAAAACTATTTAGATTTGAATGTCAAAAGAAACTTTGTATATTTCAGTCAGTATATAAGGTTGCCATCATGGTTCTTTTATATTAAGTATTTTATTTTTTACTTCAACTCTTTCTATTATAGATTAATTTAAACATTCATAAAAGCACAATGTAACATATATATCATATAATGATAAAGAAAACACCTTTTGTAGTTTGTAGAAAATAAGTATTATTTAATGATATACTGTTGTAAGCAATTCTTTAATTTCAGGAGGAAATAATCTACTGTTGATAGTAAAATACTTTGACATACATTACTCTTAAAAAGGTCAGCCATATAAAAACTAGTTATATTTTAACCGAATTTTCAACTCTCTGAACTATAAATGAGGAACTAGGGATGTCATAGTGAGACAGAGACTGTAGATTTAGGCAGAGTAGGGTGAGACCCTCCAGAGAAAAAGCAGAGCAAGATAATTACAGTCAGAGCAATGTAAGAATGTATAAATCTCTACTTTGGAGACTGATTTCTTCTCTACTATCAATATTATTAGGACAAAAAATAGAAACAGAGTAGATATATGTTATCCCCTGGAGGTAGTCCTGTCATTAATCTAACCTAGGTTAATTAACAAGAAGCAGCAAATTCATTCAATCACTAAAACATTGAAATATTGATATGCAAGTTATTGTTCAAAATCTGATAATAGGTATTTAATGTGAGAATCATTATTTCTCTCAATATTTGTTTAATTTTAATTTGAGAATAAGAAAAAGTTGAGTATAATAGCAATCCTCTCTATTAATTGCCTGTCTACACTCTCTCAAAGTAATACTTGATATTTCTTTGTTATTCTAATATTGTTTGTACTTATTATATTTTTGAAATGCAATTTTAGAATTATTGACTATAAAAAGATAAATTTGGGGTTGCATTTGGAATATCTCCTTATCATTTTATTTTTCTAGTAATTTACTGTATTTTCCAAAAGTATTGATTCATGTGAAATTGACATATAAACAAATGAATTAAATTTAAAAATAATGGTCTTTCACAACAGTTCTAGAAACACTATTTAGAGAAGATTAGACATGTTATAATTAAAATCGAGGTAGAAATTTCTATATGGGAGACTGAAACTCTAGAGTTTTAAAGATGACGTTCCTCACACCTGGCAGGAGAAAGTCACTGGCTTTGCACCTGGGCAACAGGTTTCAAGTGGGATAAAATATGGGCTTTCAGATTGGGGTTAGAGAAAACAGAGTGGGCAAAGACAGAGTCAAGAAAGCTTTTGAGACTTATGAATAATATCAAGTAGTTCAATGGGCCTGAAACATAATGTAAAGCAAAATAGTAGGAAAAAGGCTGAGCTTGATTTGAGAAGCTTGGTACAAAGGGAAAAGTCTGGAATTCATTCAAATGGCAAATGGATTCCTCTGAAACTCACTGAGAAGTATGTTAATACTTTTGGCTGGGCCTTATAAGGTTGCATTTGACAGGAGATAGCCAGAGGGATTGGAGATCCATGAAACTAAAGAAAAGGGGAAAGCATTTTTTTTCTTAATTTATTATAAATATCACAGAAACCTACACATTTATTGAAGAAAATTTAAAAAACAATGTACCAAAAAAGTAAAATCAGATTAAAATTCAACCACCTGGAAACACTCATTGGCACCTAATACAGACAGTGTGATATCTACATACTGCAATTTGGAAGTCACCTTTGTTCACTTTTCATAGCATGAACATGTCAGTATGTATGTTTATAAATCTTTCTTTGAGTGACTGCATAAAGTACCAGTATATGGATGTGCCCAGGGAGATGACATTACCGCAGTATTCCAGAGGAAAGGATGAAGAGGAAACAATGAGATGTCAAAGAGGTAGTTGATTTATGGTGTTAGATACTGGGAATGGCATCTTAGAGTGAAACAATGACAGAGAGTATGTTTCTTACTTAAAAACAGTGATTAAAGCAGCCTCTACTTCTTCTTAGCTGTGTTTTTGGTTAAGTTTTTTGCTTAAACCTCAGTTTCCTGGAGTTAATAATTTTAACTTTATGTGCTGTATGTGAAATATGTATAGAAAGCATCTAAGCACAGAGCCTCACACAGAAGGCACTCAATTAACATGAGATCTTTCTTTGATGATTGATCATCAAATGTATGTGAGGAGATGAATAATGTTAAAGATAGATTTCCTAGTTTCAAGGTGACATAACTAGGAAGAAGATGCTATAAAAATGGAGATTTCAAGGATATGAGCACCTTTGGGGGCAGGAGCTGTTAAGCTAACCATGAACATGAGCACCCGTCCAAGGCTGCAATGACATTCACAGATACATTACTTGAGAACCAGAATAATGAATGACATCGCTACACTATACTCTGCAAATATCAAGACAGTCTAGACTCCCTCCTTCTCCTTGACCAGTAATGCATTACATGTTCCTAAGCTGACCTCCAAGAACTAAATGAAGCTTCCAAATGAGCTTAGCTTAGATTCCTTCAAGCTACTTACATATCAAGAAAATCTGGTGAGACATCTCAAGAGAATAAAAGAAATAGCTCATATTTTACATTTAGATATAATCTGTGATACTAAGGTCAAGGTTATACATTTTATTTATATAGCTCCCATTTTGTTTTCTGGTTCTTTGAGGAAGATGTAAATAGGCCAAGTATCTAGTGATTGCCAAAAACCAGATCTGAGTTAGATAAGAGAATTGAATGAGCAAAAATCTACTCCCCTAGTGAAAAAGCAACCCAGTGACAATCTAGTGACAGTGAGTCAATTACTTCAGTGATAATTATAAAGCCTGCATGCCTCTGAGAGCTTGCATTCTGTTTAATCTTGTTCAAAGGGTTGTTTTTATGTTGAGTGTTTTTATGAGTATCATGGATCTTAGGTTTTATCTAAAATATAATAATAACATTTCAGCTTTGTCCCAGGACATTTTCTGAAGGCAAATTTACCAACAACTGGTATTGAAATTATGAAAAAATGATTTAAATGATTAATTTTGGAATCTTGTGAAATGTTAAGAGTAGAATGTGTGTCCTAGATATTGAAAAGTGGCTTAATTGAGCATGCAGTTCACTACTTAAATATCTGTCCCATCCTTTGGCATTTCAATATCAAAGTGTCAATTATACACAGAAGTAAATGCCTCTTTAAATAGTCGAAACTGACCTGAGAAGGAAAGGAGGCCCATGATTTTTTCTTGCTTTCCAAAGTCAAAGACTACATAAATTTCTATATCTTGGCCAACATCATGGCAAATAAAATAGGATCAAACAGCTCAAACTCAATGACAAATTTTTCAACAATATTTTGCAATCTCCTTCAAGAAAAAATTAGAAATGCTAACAACTAAAAAAATGACATTAAAATTATGATAGCACCTTGGGTGAATGATTTGTAAGAGATCCATGTACTAGAATAATGTTTGGTAATGATAACTTTTCCATTAGCCTTCTTTAGTCCTAGTGCTCATCTGAAATAATCATACTACTAGCTGAAATTATCACAGTGTATATATGAAATAATCATAATGCAAGGCAACAATACTTTGAGTCCTAAATTTATGAATTCAAAATGACACTATACAAATAGATTAATAAAATTGCTCTCTTATTTTCTCTAGCTGTATTATCACCATGATACACACTCACCTTCTAACCAATTTCAACTGAAACTTGAGTTTATGGAAAAATAACACTAGACTTCAATTAAATGCAGTCATTCTTTTATTCAAAAGACAAATCTTGAGTGCTTGCTGATCTTCAGGGACTGTATCACTGCTAGGTCGACAAGTATGCTTTGATTCCTGCCCTTGAAATTAAGTTACCTTCTTTCTATAGCTTCCATAAATTAACACTTAACTTTCAGGCATAAATGCACAAAATCAGAATATTAGAGAAGAAAGACAGACTGCAAATGAGATGATCTTTATTAGATTAAAAGGCAAAGCTCCTTTTATCTATCATACAAACAATACATTCTGTGTCTTGAAAACAAGCAAGTATGTCTAAATAAAGTGAAGAGCAAAGGTGAACAGCTATCTAACCACAGTGATTAGTATGGTCAGGCAAACTGGAATATTCAAGAAATGAAAACCTGATTTCTTTTTATCAACACATTTCTTATGGCTTGATTACCAAATAACTCCCTACTATCATACATAATGACAAACCAAAGTCCATGGGGCCACTCAATGGTTTTATTTTTGGTTGTCTCTTTTTTAACTCTAAATGCTTTTTAAAACTTTTGAAAATAATAAAATCGCCTGAGGAAAGCTAACATGGTTTCTTTTCCAGGCCAGGAAGAGACAAAGTGCAATCTATTTCCATGTCATTTCCAAGTTATTTCAACTTTGCAAATAGTAACCCTAGTTGGCAGCACTGAAGCTTAGAAAGAAAAGCCACAAAAAGAGAGAAGAAAACTAATCTGAGCCCCCAGTTTGAAGCACTTACAGACACAAGCTCCCAAAATATATACTGCTACACCAGAAGAATTAATCAGAGAATTCTCAAGATACAACACATGCTTCAAGTCACATAACTAAAGACCATGAGGAACAAATACATAGCAGACAATCTAAAGCTTGGAGAATGACTTTATAGATGACCTATCTTAGGAATTGTTTCTCTCTCCTATGAGCTATGGTATTAATTTCTGATTAATCGATACATATATAATCTTTGGAACATAATGTCAATTAAATATTAACTACAAATACCATTATTTAATTTTAATTATATAGAACTCAAAATAAATATATAAAAGTGTGTACACCTACCATTGATCCATCGAGCGTCTGGATCATGAAGCACAAAGTCTTTCCTGAAGAGGTCTTCTAAAGACAATCTGGTTTCTGATGAATTTGTAAGTTCATCTACATTAAAATAAATCTTGTATTAGATACTATCTCATGTCAGTTTTAAAACTAATGAATTATAATGTTTGAAATATTTTGTATCAAAGATATGGTAACAAGATGACAATGTAATATAAAGTAACCATTTTAGCATGGCTTTTGAAATTAGAAGTCTGTTTCATTCTCTTTTTCAATAAATTATTTGTAATAATAAACTGTCTTGACCTACCACAAATTTAATAACTCACTCTCTTGTAATTTAGTGAAATATAATATGAAAGCAGGTAAGAATTCCAGTTCTGCACTGTGACCAAAAGGGCATATTTTTCATTGTTTAACCATAATCCAGCCAGCTACTTTCCAAAACCACTTATATATTCTCTTTACTCACTTATTCACACACTCATATTCATTTTATACACAAAGCTGTAGTTTTCTTGTAAACACAAAAGATGAGAGTTGAAGTAAAGAAAACTTCCCAACTCAGAAGAAAGTTCAACAAATGAGAAGGAATACCAATTTCAACCAAACAGTTACCACCAAACAAACACTAAATGGATTTAAGAGTTAAAAACAAAAATTCAAATAATGCACTGCCATAATATTAATGAAAAGCATGCATTTATGTCACTCTCTGACATAAACTAGGTGTTGTCCCCTTTTAAATGTCAAAATCCATGAACTGGAAGTTAACACTATTTAAGAATCAAAACTAGGCATACTGAACACTCTTTCAGATGCAAGAGTTATCAGTATTACACTTTCTTTGTAAAATTAAAGTATAGCTTATTTATTGTGTAAAATCATCTTTGTGGCCTTTCATCTGTGACCTTCACTCTGGTTGAAAATAAAATGTCAAAGATACATACTAATCTCATTAGATACTGTTTTTTAAAGGTTCAGCACTTATTGCAGGAAAAGCTTTGTTTCTTCCAGCTGAAAGCTGGGGCAAAGAATCAATAACCTCAAATGCAATTTCTTTTCACATGAATCAACCATGTATTTAACCCACAAAATAACTGCTAAGAAAAAAATAGTACTAGTGGGAATACTGAGAAGTTTAATCCCAAACCTAGTATGCGATTGTGATTATATATAGGTTTTCAAAACAAAATGCTCCATTTGATAGTCTGACACACCAAGATTTGAACTTAAATCATTCAACAAATACTGGAAGACTTCATATTCAAGGTACTAAGTATTGTAAGGTGCTGGAGGCACATCTACGACCTGCCCTGAAGGGGCACTTGCGAAGCAAGAAAGAAAACAACAGATGTCAGAATAAAGACACAGGGAGCTGCATGAGTTTAGAAATGAAAGGGAAATATCTTGCAAAAGGAATGAGAGAAGGCTCCTCTGTTAAAAATAAAACGATCTACCCTAATTTGCTGGTGGGGATGCAAAATAAGATAGACACTGGAAAACAGTTTGGCCGTTTTCCACAAAACTAAACATAGAATCCAACAATTGTGTTCTGTGGTATTTATCTAAATGGGTTGAAAACTTTCATCCACACAACGCTAGCACATGGATGTTTACAGCAACTTAATAATTGCCAGAACTTGGAAGCAACCAAGATGTCCTTCAGAAGGTGGATAGATAAACTGTGGTACAGCCATTGTAAAAGGCAAACTATGGAGATACTAAAAATATCAGTGATTGCCAAGGATTGGGGGGAAAGGAAGGATGAACAGGCAGAGCACAGAGAATTTCGAGAGCAGTGACTCTACTATGTATGAAACTATAATAAAAGATACATGTCATTGCACATTTGTACAGACCCATGAAATGTACAATAGCAAGAGTGAACCCTAAAGATTCCTAAGTATGATCTCTGAGTGATAATGATGTATCAATGGAGATTCATGGATTTGAACAAATATATCACTGTAATGTGGGATGTTGATAATGGGGAAAGCTGTGCCTATGTTGGGGGAGGTGATATATCTGAGCTCTTGTACCATCTGCTCACTATTGCTGTGAACTTAAACTTCTCTAGAAAATTCTACTAAAATATAAATAAATAAATAAAAATAAGAGGCCTGGGCCTTAGAGGTTTAAAAGACAGATAAAGGGAATGGCAAGAAGAGGAGTGAGAGTATTACAGATAAAAGGACAGGTGGTTGTTTTTCTACAAACTTAAGAAGACTTGTTTCTAGAATTCAAATTTCTGTCTATTAAGTTTTCATATATAGACTTATTCTATAAGACATCTAGTAATACCAGATTTTGGTATAGATAAATTTCAAATTTTAAAATTTCCTGAAATTATATAACGCACCATCATTTTGTCTAATCCAACCTCTTCAATTCTGAAAGAATTTTATTTCCATCTCTGATTTACATTTATTTGATCCAATTAAATTTATATATGTAAAGGTGGGAGGTAGGAATCTAACTTTATCTCAAGGAGAGCATATTATGCTAACACAATATATTAAATAAATAATCCTTATCTACTGAGCTGAAAAATCAACTATATTCTATATGAATATCCTGTATATACATACATCTGTTTTTCTTCCAAGGGTAATTTTTTCTGTTCCTAGGTATATTCCATATATTTTGTTTTCTGTATCTTTTATGATTCAGATACAGATGTTAATATAAAAAGTATCTTTTAAGACAAATGCACCACACTGAACAATCTTATTTTCAAATATTTCAAACTATAGTTGATAACTCTCAAACATGTTTTTTTATGTGAGATTTTAAGTCACATTTCAACGCATCAAATTGGAACTTTTATTAAAATAGCAATGCACACACACAGTAAATTGGAAAACTTTAAATATTTTATAAAATTAAAGCTTTTAATATTATGGAATTTATTCCACTCACATTTTATGTACATTAATAATGCATCTTCTCTCCTTCATATAAGTTCTATACTTTTCCTATTAGATTTAGTTCAAATTATATGAAGTTTGTTGTTACTGTGAATAGAACATTTTTCATTCTTACTCTAAATAAATACATATATATATAAATTTCAGGTAATTGCAGATTCACTGTGAATCTGCAGCTGCAAGAAAAATACAGACATAGATCTTTATACCCTTTATCCAGTGTCCCTCAATAGCATGCAGTATCTTACATAATCAGTATTACAAAAAGAAATTGACATTTACATACTCCACAACATTTTTCAGGTATCACCAGTGTTACATTTATTTATTTGTGTACATGTATGTATGTGAGTGTGTGTATGTGTGTGTGTTTTAATTCTATTCACTTCTATCACAATGACCAGCACTGGTCAAGATAAATATAATCATTCCAGTCGCCAGGATCTCCTGTGTTGCCCTTTTGTTACCACAGTCTCCTTTTGAAACCATTGACAATCACTAATCCATTTTCCAACTCTATAACTTTTTAATTTCAAGAATTCTATGTAAATAGAATCTACAATGTGTAACCTTTTCAGATTTGCTTTTTTCACTAACTACTATGGATCTCAAACTACTTCTCACACTACATACAAAAAGTAACTCAAAATGGATTAGGGACTTTTACATGTAAAATATAACACTGCAACTCTCTTAGAAAAAAATATAAGGGAAAATCTTCAGGACCTATGATTAGATGGAGCAGTCCTGGTTTTGATAGAAAAAGCATGATTTATATATAGAAGGAAATTTGATAAACTGGGTCTCATCAATAATAAAAACTTTTTCTCTGGAAAAACCCTTTTTAAGAGGATCAAAAGACAAGGTATATACTTGGAAGAAATATTTGAAATCGACATGTCTCACAAATGATTTGTATCTGGAAGAGATGAACTCTCCAAACACAGCAGTTAAACAAACAAACATGCAAACATCTAACTTGTTGAGTCTGTCAAAACTTATCCTTTTAATTGCTGAGTAATATTCCAGGGTATGAATACACCATAGTTTGTTGAACCATTCTTCTGTCAAAGGACATCTGAGTTGTCATTTCTAGTTTGGGGTTATTATGAATAAAGCTGCTATGAGCACTTTCTCCAGGCTTTTTTGTGAATATAAATTTTCCTTTCTTTGAGATAAATGCTAAAGTGTGCAGTTGCTGAGTCACATAGTAAGCATATGTTTAGTTTTAATGTCATAAGTTCTTCTAGAGTAGTTATGTTATTTTGCATTCTCACCAGTAATGTATATATGACCCCATTTCTCTGCATTCTTGCCAGAATGTGCTATTGCTTTTAAAAATTTTAATTCTTCTTTTAAAAAAGTAATTATATCCTATTGTGGTTTAATTTCCTTTTCCCTAATAACTAGTGAAGATCTTTTAATGTGCTTCTTTGTCATCGGTATATCCTCTTCAATGAAATGCCCATTCATATCCTTTGCCCATTTTCTGATTGGACTACTCTTGTTTGCATGTTTGTTTGTTTAACTGCTGAGTTTGGAGAGTTTATCTCTTTTAGATACAAATTATTTCTCAGACATGTCAATTTCAAATATTTCCTCCAAGTTTGTACCTTGTCTTTTTATCCTCTTAAAAAGGATTTTTCAGAAAAAAGTTTTTATTATTGATGAGATTCAGTTTCCTTTTATACATAAGTCATGCTTTTGTTGTCAACACCATCAACACCAAGAATGCTTCACCTAATCCTAGGACTTGAAGATTTTCTCTTGTATTTTTTTGTAAGAGAGTTGCAGCATTATATTTTACATGTAAGCCCCTAATCCATTTTGAGTTACTTTTTGTATATAATGTGAGAAGTAGTTTGAGGTTCATTTTCAAAAAGTCTATTAGATGCCCAAATGCTCCAGCACCATTTGCTAAAAAGCATTTATTTCATTTTAGTGAATTATTCTATGAGCTTGAATGTGAAAAACACTGTTGAATAATGAAAAAGAACAGGTAGTACCCCCATCCTATTGGAGAATCCTCTCAGACTTCTCATTAAAAAAATCAAGGAGAATCTCAGTCTCTCAGTGGTATGTACACAGGTACGTGCAGATTTAGAAAAGAGGAGATTTGGGTAACAAGTCAAAGCAAACTCAATAAACACAGATTTACTTGGACCCTTT